GGATTGCTTGAGCCTCACAGGCAGAAGCTGCAGTGAGCCAAGATTACACCACTGCACTCTAGCCTGGGCAACAGAGTGAGACCCTGTTTCAAAAAAAAAAAAAAAAAAAAAAAATTAGAAGTTATACATGTTACCAGGAAAAGATTAGGTGACAAAGAAATGAAGCCTGCAGGTATGGAGTTCATTTTTGTTGAGTTTGGTTGGGAACAAAAAGAGAGACTGAATGGTGGCCAGAAAGATTAATATTGTGGAGTAAATCTGTTTGGAAATATAGGTTATATATTTCTACTTAAAGGAACTAGGAATAGAGCCTGCAGATCCAAAATAAAAAAAAATCTTTAAGGACTGAAAAGTATGGTGATAATTATGAGATCATGGTCCCAAAAGAAGTAGAAAGAGATGTAATTCAGAGTCCAGTTCGAGAGGTGGACTTCATAAAAAGGTAGGAAGGACAGCTCCTTGAAAAGGGGCATAAGGTAGACTATACTGTAACAATTAGCAACATAAGAAAGCATAAGGAAGTCCAGAAAACTGATGGTTCCTCATTTCTCTACAAGAAATACTTTAAAGGGAAGGAAGTACATCTACACTTCAGACCTAAAATCCTCCCTTAGCAGGCTGACAGAGTTAATGACATTCATCTGCTGGCATCTATTACTTACCTGCACAGGTACCTACTGGAATGCTTGGTTCCATGATCCATGGCTCTGTCCCTTGCTCTAACTGGGAAATCACATCAGGTTTGGAAACCTGGAGTCCTGTTCATTGGGGAAAAAAGAAAGAAACCTGCAGTAAGGGAAGGGTACCATATCAGAATTCAATCACCACTTTGTCTTTAGAAGAAATGACATGTAGTAAAAGTTGATGCGAATGGATAGCATATCAAGCTTCAGTGTTACCAGTTCCCAGACATGGTGGGAGTATAATTTGGGAACTGATCTGGGTGCAGGAAAATTATTAATTTGTCCCTCTGCTTGCTAGGAAGGTAGAAACCTTTTCAAAACCTTTCAAAATTTAGAAATTGTTGGTTACTAAACTTAAAGGCCAACTCCACTGAGCACAAGAGAGAACCCTCCCCCTCTACACCCCTTGAAATTAACTCAGAGAAGTTATGCTTACCTATAGAGACCAGGTGTGTATAATTTTCCAATGTCACATCCCTGAACAAGTCTCTCTGGCCAGGATCGAGCTGTTTCCATTCTTCCTGGGTAAAGTCCACTATCACATCCTTGAAAGTCACTGATTCCTGAAATACCAAACATATTTCTGCTTAGCCATCAGCATTTGCCTAGGAAAGGGGTAAAGTTGGCAATACTGAAAGAAGTAAGGCAGTCTACAGGATGTCTGCAAAATGAACTCAACATTTTCTCCTCTAAAATGTAAAAACAGTGCTTCGTCCATTGGGTTATTGTAAGAATTAAATAAAATGTTCCATGTGAAATGCTTAATTTAATGTACAGCATATAAAAAGTACTCAGTCAATATGGCCATTGTTGTTGTTGTCGTCCTTCATCATCATCATTATCATCATGATTTCTGTGTACCAAGGTATGTTAAATATTAATGGTTTAACTATTATCATCTATAATATTTTTTACTACTTACAATGTGCAAGAATAGCCAACGGTTTTTCGAAAAAGAGAGGTGAAAAGACTTGCCCTAATACATTTCAATAGATAAAATAATTACAAAATCGCCTAGTATGGAATAAAACAAAATGAAATAAATAAAATAGACAATCTAGAAACACTCATATTTATAAGAATTGAAAGGCATTAAGCAGCTTTCAAATTCGTTAAAAGTTAATTAGTTAAAAGTAAGTTCAAAGTTAAAAGTGAAATTAGTTAAGATGGGTTAGTCACTAAATCATACCATAACAAATGACTATCTATGAAAAAAAACTAAGGTGAGATCCTTACTTCACAACACACACAAAAATTCCTACCAAGCTAAAGGTGAAATTTTAAAGAAAAAGTCAAAATAAAATAGAATTAAAAACAGGAAAATACTTATATAAACTTGAAATCTGGAAGGCAAAACTTATACGATGGAGAAAGAGATCAGTAGATATAACCACATAACAATGTAAAACATTTATAAGACATCACAAACAAAAGGCAATTTAACTGAAAAGCTTCTGCACAGTAAAGAAAACAATCTACAGAGTTCAAGATGACCCACAGAAGGGGTGAAAATATTTGCAAACTATTCATCTCACAAGGGATTAATATCCAGAATATATTCAAATCAACAGCAAAAAAATAATAATAATAACATTAAAAAGTGTGTGAAGTATCTGAATAAGCATTTCTCAAAAGAAGACATATAAACACCCAAATATATGAAAAATGCTCAACATCACGAAATGCAAATCAAAACCATAATGAGATATTATCTCACCCCAGTTAGTCAAAGAGAAAAAAAAATAACAAATGCCGGCAAGGATACACCACTGGTGGAAATGTAAATTAGTACAACCATTATGGAAAACAGTTTGCACTGTCTCAAAAAAACTACAGAACTACCATATGATCCAGCAATCCCACTAATGGGTATTTATTCAAAGTGAAGGAAATCAGTATACCAAAGAGACACATGCACCTCCATGTTTGCTGCAGCTCTACTGACCACAGGTAAGCTGCAGATCAACCTAAATGTCCATCAACAGATGAATGGATAAAGAAAATGTGGTATATACACATAATGGAATACCATTCAGCCGTTAAAAAATAAAATCTTGTCATTAGTGGTAACATGGATGAACCTGCAGGACATTATGTTAAATGAAATAAGCCAGGCACAGAAAGATAAATAGTGCATGTTCTCATTCATATATAGGAGCAAACAAAAACAAAAAGAAAGCAAATTCCTAGAGAGTAGAATTCTGCTTACTAGAAGCTGGGAAGGGTAGTGAGGAGGGAAGGCTAGGGAAAGACTGGTTGATAGTTACAAAGTTACAGGTAGAAAGAAGGAATAAGTTGGGTTAACAATAATTTAGAGTATAATCACAGAAAAGTAGAAGAGAGGATTCTGAATGTTCACAACCCAAAGAAATGATAAATATTCAAGGTGATGGATATGCTAATTATCCTGATTTTATCATTACACATTGTATTCATGTTTCAAAATATCATTCTGTATCCCATGGATATCTACAATTATTACATGTCAACTAAAAATTAAGTGGGGGGAAAAAAGATGAACTATCCACAACAATAACAACAATAAAGGCCAACAAGCCAAATAGGCAAGTCACCAAAGAAAATGTGAAACCATGAAAATATGCCCCACTGCCCTAAAAATATAGTTAAACAGTAAAATATCAGACTGCTGAAATGCTCATGTGTACTTTGGTGGAAACGGAACCCAAATGCAATCTATCTGGGGGGAAATCTGACTAGATCTATCAAAACTTAAATGGATATACCATTCGGTCTGGTCTTCCTGCTTCTAGGAATCTATTCTTCAGAAACACCTCGAGGTACAAAGACATATGTACAATTGCCATTGCAACATCATTTGTGTGGAAGGAAAAAAAATCAAACTTACATGTCCATTAATAAGACAGCAGTTAAAAAATATATGGCACATCCATACTAAAACAGTTTTATATAGACATTTATCAAATGAGGCATATCTATATGTACTCATTAGAAAATATGTACACATTAAAACGAGGACGCCAGGAATGGTGGCTCACACCTGTAATCTCAACACTTTGGGAGACAGAGGTGGGAGGACTGCTTGAGCCCAAGAGTTAAAGACCAACCTGTGCAACATAGTGAGACCTCATCAGCACTAAAAATAAAAATAGAAATAAGCTGGGCATGGTGGCACACACCTGTAGTCGCAGCTCCTCAGGAAGCTCAGGTGGGAGGATTGCTTCAGCCCAGAAATTTGAGGTTGCAGTGACCTGTGATCATACCACTGCATTCTAGGATATGATCCTACTTTTCTTTTTATGAATAGAAAGTTAGTTTATATGTAACTAAACAAAAAAATCTGAAAGAATGCTCAACCAAATGCTATTGGTGGGACTGGGTAGTGGGACCTACAGGCAATGCAGGGAACTTCCTGCTTTTTTTAATCACTATGTATTTAAAACTAAGTGAGAGAGCATTAACTTTGTTCTAAAAAATATAAATGTATTTATATATATATAAATCACATATAAAAATATAAATCATTAGGACTTTTCCCTCTATCTATGACAAAGCAACTGGGCTAGCTCTCCCAATGTAAATAAAACTGAACAATATATCTGAAACAAGTGTTTTCATATTTTAAACAGCAGGCAGGACAGAAGTGATACTGAGAGAAGGGAAACACTAACATGAGCCCCAGAATTCCCTTAATTTTTTGCCTGAGGCACTGTCCAGACTGCAGAGCAGGGAGGCAGGGCTCTACCAAAGCAGTGGTCCTACTGAGCTGAGGAGATAAAGTTGAAAGTTCACAACTACTGAGGCAGGGAATCTGCAGTATAGATACTGGAGAGGAGGGAGCTGCAGAGAAAAGAAATACCACAATCTGGTGTAAATACAATCTCCACAGGCAATGCAAGGTTACCAACGTAGCTGAATAGAGAAGTTATGTGCACAGTCAGCTCCCACAGACAGCTCCAGGACACTTTAGGAGCAGGGCAGGTCTAGACTGTGAGGAAAGAGTTTAAACAGCAGGTCTCATTGGCTCATTCCTTGATAAATTCCAGGGATGCCTAGATCCTTGGTTCTGACTCTTGAACAAGCTCTGAAAATGAAACCTTTGAATGCTTCCATGGTCACTGATTATTGACATAATTCTGTGTGCCTAGTCACTGACTAATCATGTTATTCTGTGTGCCCAGAGCACTGGGACAAGAGATACCAAACTGTCTATCTTGTTTAAAGAAACATGAAAATTAATGATGTGTACGAAGTACCTAGTGTGGGGCCTATACTATAGCTGGTCACATGGCAGGTAAAGGCCAACGTGATCAGCAACCTTTAGGAATTCTGGACTCCAAGATGGCAGGACTCTCTGGTTAGACATTTCTCATGTTTCTGTGTCTCACAGTACAAGAGAAAATGCATCTGCATGATCATCACAGAGGGAGGACTTGGAAGCCTATACCTGATTTCTCTGGACTCTGCTTATGAATATTCCTTTTCTTCTGATCCTCTGTTGTATGTTTTGCTGTAATATTCTTTAGCCATATTTATGCTACTGAGTCATACGAATCATCCCAACAAATCACTGAACTAAAGCATGGTCACGGGTCCTTGAAACACAGCCCTGGAGTAAGGCTATGCTAGATCAGCCCGAACAATGCTTACAGTTTAAAATACAAATATCAAAAGGATCAAGCTGTAGCCAAGATGGAGTTAACAATAATTGGATTTACTCTCCTGCATTAAATAAACAATAAATTCAGACAAAATGAAACAAAAGTTTCCAACACACTGAACCTCAGGTAACAAAGAAAAGTGATCTCTGAGAAACAAATGAGGTGAGACCTACAATTGCTCTAGCTTACTGCCTTGAGAGTTTCCAAACACAGGAGGAACCCGGCAGATTCCTGGAACTACAGAGATAGAGCTGAGAGTTTGGGAAAATCAAGGTGACCAGAGTTCACAGGACACAGTACTAGAGAGGAGAGAGATACACAAAGAAGGAAGGAAAACTCCAGAGGTTCCCTCTTGAGTATTGAGAAAAGTACCAATCTGTGCATAAGTGTGATGACACTATCTGAGGCCAGTCAAAGTATCACCTAAAAGGATTCAGGAGACCAGCACCACTACTCAAAAATAAATATATCAATTAAAATGGAAAACTTCATAATTCATGAGGCATTGGGTAGAATACTCAGAATGCTCCTGCCTCTATAGTGGGGAATAAATAGCCTGAAACCAAATGTTGTTCTGGGTCCACCTAACAAATCTTAAAAGGCCTGAAAGGAACACACTGTTTCCGGTAACTTAACTGCATCCCAGAATAAGGCTCAAGAATATTTTATATGAATATAAAAATATGCAGAACCCAATAAGGTAAAATTCAGCGTGTGGCATCCAATAAAGATTATCAGGCAATGCAGAGAAGCAGGAAAATACAACACATAATAAGGAGAAAAATTATCAATTAAAACCAATCCAGAAGAGCTGTTAGAGTTACCAGACAAACATCAAAAGATTTTATGATTGTATTCCATATGTTCAAAACTTTAGACAGAGATATGGAAGACATTAAAAAAAAAAAAAAAAAAAACCTAAAAGGAACTTCTAGAGCTGAAATGAGAATGTTTTGAGATTTTAAAAAATATACCAGGTAGTATTAACAGAAGAATAAGCATTGAAGAAGAGAGATTAGTAACTACAAAGACACAGAAATCGAAGCTATTCAAAATAAAAGAAACAAATAATAAAAAAAATAAAGATCCTTGGGGAGCACTAGGAGAACTTTAAGTGGACTACTTTATGTGTAATTGGAGTATGGGGTTGCGGGAGGAAGTGGAAGGGGACCAGAAAACATTTTTGAGGAAATAACAGCTGATTATTTTCCAAACTTGATGATAACAAACAAAAGAAATTGCAACAAAATATATCATAATCAAATAGCTCAAACTCAGTGATAGAAAAAAATCTTACAAGTAATCAGAGGAAAAAAGACCATAAATATAAACAAATGAAGATAAAAGCAGTAACTTTTTTTGTTAGAAACAATGCAAGTAAGGAGACACTGGAGCAACATCAAATACTAAAAAGGAGAAATCTGTCACACTAGAATTCATAAACAAGGGCAAAATAAAGACTTCTTTAGATAGAGAAACCTGAAAGCATTAATCACAGCAGACCTACACTATAAGAAATGTTAAAGGAAGTCCTTCAACCAGAAAAAAAGATACCAGATGAAAATATGGATCGACATTAAGGTTTCTCAACCTTGGTGCTACTGATATTTTGGACCAGATGATTCTTTTAGATTACTGTGGGGGCCTGTCCTGTGTATGGATACATCACTGGCCTCAACCCACTACATGCTAATAACAACAACAATAAAAAATTGTTGTTGTTATTAGCATTACCAAGTCATAACAATCAAAAAAGTCCCCTAACACTCCCAAATGTGTCCTTGGGGAGCAAAATCACTCACAATTGTGAAACACTGATTTATAAAAACGAACAAAGAATACCAAAATGGTCATTATGCAATAAGCATTTTAGTAATTATATACAATTATTTTCTTATTATTTAAATATCTTTCAAAAATAATTGGCTGCTTAAAGAAAACAAAATATGGGATTTATAACGTATGTAACAATTAAAATATATGGCAACAATAGCATAAAAACTGCAGTGTAGGGGAATGGAAATACACTATTCTAGGTGAAATGGAATATCACTTGAAAGTTAATGGTGATTAAAACAAATATGAATCCCTAAAGCAACAAATAAAAAAGCAAAGAGTAATCGCTAACAAGCCAAGAAAGGAGATAAAATAGAATCATAAGAATATTCAATCCAAAAGAAGGTAAGAAGGGAAAAAAAGACAATACAAATAGAAAACAAACAGCAAAGTAAAAAGGCTTATCCATATCAAAAGTCACATTATATTTAAATGTAACACATTACATGTAAGATCATATTGAACACAAATGGTCTAAACAACCCATGAGCACAGATTTCCAGATTGGATTAAAAAAAAAGCAAAACCCAACTACATGTTGCTTGTAAGTAACTCACTTTAAAGATATAAATAAATTAAAAGCCAAAAGATATCAAAATATATGCCATATATCAAAGTAAATTTCAAGGCAAACAATATTACCAGACACTAAAAAGGCCACTTCTTAATGATAAAGGAGTCAACTGATTAAAGAACATACAGTCCTAAATGTTTATGTACCTAATAACAGAGCTTCAAAATTTATGATGCGAAAATGGATAAAACAGCAATGAGAAACAGACAAACCCGCAACAGTCTGAGATTTCAATACCCCCTTCACAATAACGATAAAACTAAAAAAATACAAAAATTAGCTGGGTGTGGTGGCATGCGCCTGTAGTCCCAGCTACTTGGGAGGCTGAGGCAGGAGAATTGCTTGACCCCGGGAGGCAGAGGTTGCAGTGAGCTGAGATCACGCCACTGCACTCCAGCCTGATGCCTGGTGACAGAATGAGACTCTGTCTCAAAAAAAAAAAAAAAAAAAAGCTGACAGGAAAAACATTCATGTATGTTGTACTGAAAAATTTATTTGGCTCCAAATCAGGTGGCAAAATTGCCATGCTTCATAATTTAAGCTAATTTTGAGTGCACCATGAATCAGAATGATGTCACACAGCTCATTTCAATAAAGCAACTGAGGGCAAACTAAGGTGCAGGGAATCACAGAGCTTTGTGTTTTAGTTCATCACTATTTGCACTTTCTAGAATTCTAAGGCTAGCTACCAGAAATATATGTGTGCATTAGAATTATAATATTTTAGGAAGGGTTGGAGAGAGAGCAGAGCACAGTTGGCTGGGCCATCATGGCAGAAGTTCTTATTTATTACCGATAAGCCCCATGTAGACGATGGTGATTGTACAACCTGCTTACAAAAAAAAAAAAAAAAGGAAAAAAAAAAAAAAAAAAAAAACAAAAAAAAAAAAAAAAAAAAAAAAGAATGAAAGAGTTGAATACCACTATCAACCAAGTTGACCAAACTGTTATCTGTGGATCTGCGGTATATACAATAAGGCCCTCCCAAAGATGTCCATGTGCCAACCCCTGAAACCTGTGAATATGTTACCTAACATGGCATTAGAGACTTTACAGATGTGATCAGGTTAAGAACCTTGAGTGGGGAAATTATTCTGTATTACATGGGTGAGCCCAGGGAAATCGCAAGGGTCCTTATAAGAGGGAGGTAAGCGCATCAGAGTAGGAGGATAAAGATAGAAGACAAATCAGAGTGAGAGAGAGAGAGAGAGAGAGAGAAATTTGAAGATGCCACAGTGCTAGTCTTGAAGATAGAATAACTAGACAGAAACCAAGAAACACAGCAGCCTCTAGAAGCTGGAAAAGGCAAGGAATAGATTCTTCTCCTAGAATCTTCAGAAGAATGCTGCCCTGACAACCTGTTTTGGACGTTAGACTTCTAAAACTGTGAGTAGATTGTATTGTTTTACGACAACTAAGCTTATGGCAATTAATTACAGCAGCAATAGAAAACTAATACTCTATAGAACACTGTATAAAATAGCAAAATATACATTCTTTTCAAGTGCTGATAGTTTACCAAGATGGACCATACTCTAGACAAAAAAAACAAAACAAAAAAAAACAAGTCTTAATACATTTAAAAGGATTCAAGTCATACAAGATATGTTTTCTGATTATGAATATTTTTATTCTCTTGATTGTGGTAATGGTTTCATGAATTTATATATGTCAAAACATATTCAATTATATATTTTTAAATATGTGCAGTTTGTTGTCACAACATACCCCCCAATTAAAAAAAAAGTAATACCAAAAGTACTTGAGCTGAAAGTGGGAAGAACTGGTACCATTTCTTTGTTAAGAAGAATCAGTTATGGGACAGGGATTAAGCAGAGGGGAAAGTTTAAGAAGGAGGAGGGTTTGAGGTTGATGATGGCTGGTGAGCAATTGCTACCTTTTTTGTCTAAGTTCTCAATCAGTTATCAGTTTTTCCTAAAACATCCAGGTCACTTTTCTTCCATTAAAAATCATTAATGGTTCATAAATGGCCTATATAATAAAGCCTTCAACTTCTCATCCAGGTATTTGAGGCTTTACTATTCTGACTTCATTCAATCATCTGTGTATCACTTGCCATAAACCATCTCTTGCAAATTTTTCTGAATTCTGTGTAACAGCTGTTAATTCTTACTTACGCACTTCTGCTTATAATCTTCTCTATACCTTAGAATCCATACCCCCATCCCTACTGCCTTACTTGTTCAAATATCCAAAAGTCACCTATATCCCCCATCCTCCATGAAACTCTAATCCCTCCAGATCACACACATTTTTCCATTCTCTAATATCTACAATACTCGTTTCACCTTTCTTACATTTACCTGTTTTGTTTTCTAGTAGTCATTTTGGTCTATTAAAGGATAAAGTTTTGGGGCCGGATGTGGTGGCTCATGCCTGTAATCCCCACACTTTGGGAGGCTGAGGCAGGTGGATCATGAGGTCAGGAGTTCGAGACCAGCCTGGCCAGCATAGTGAATCCCCGTCCCTACTAAAAATACAAATAATTACCTGGGCATGGCGGCACACACCTGTAGTCCCAGCTAGTTGGGAGGCTGAGGCAGGAGAACTGCTTGAACCCGGCAGGTGGAGGTTGCAGTAAGCTGAGATTGTACCACTGCACTCCAGCCTGGGTGACAGAGCAAGACTCTGTCTCAGGAAAAAAAAAAAAAAAAAAAAAAAATCAAGTTTTGTACTTCTTTTGCTCTCCCATCCTTGGAGCATGGCAAGATACTAAGCAAGAGGTAAGTGGTGAATATATTAATTAAAGCTGGAGAGGCAGCACCAGGAATGAAGTTACTAGACAGATAAGAGCCCAGAATGGATTCCAGCATTGATTTTTGATTTTTATAAAAAGAACGAACGAAAGAAAATAAATACACAATCACCTTCCAAAGAATAAAATGGCATATCAAGAAATCTCATCTTACCTGAAAACTGGCTGATGAGAGCAGAGTATGTCCCCCTTGGAGAAGGGTGGAGTCTGGGGAGGACTGATCTAGGGGAAGAAGCAGCACCATATGACTTCTGTTCAGTTTAGCTATTACAAGCAATCCATAAATCCCGTTTACTTTTCTTTTTGAAAGTAACAGAAACTATGCCATTTCTTTTATATTTTAGGATGCAAAAAAAGATACAAGATAACTGGGGCCCTGGTAACCTCCTCAGTAGGCTCAGGAGGTAAAGCATTGATTTATGATTCAGTTTTATATCTAGACACTTAGTGGTCATATGTATTATAAAACTCAATCTATGTTCCTCATTAAGTGAGGCAAACTATTTCTGCTGCCTTTTCTCTGCTGCATATAAAATATAAAGAAATGATCAGATTACTTTCCAAAAGTCTTCACAGGCCCTTTGAAAACTTTGCTATTAATGTAAATTAAAGATCACAATGACATAAGCTACTTATTCTACCCACCCAATAGAATGTCTTAAACAGACATGGTCAATGCTAATTGCTGGCGAGACTATAAAGCAATTAGAACTTTTTTCATTGGTATATGGTATAAATTTATCAACCACTTATGAAAACTGTTTCGTACTTTATACTAAGCTAAACATATGACTATCCTATGACTCAGCAGTTCCACTCCTGTCCTTACATCCATAGAAATGCTTATGTCCACCAAAGACTTCTACAAGGATCTTCACTGCAGATTTATTCATAATATCTCAGAACTGGAAACAACCCAAATGCCTTTTAACAGAATATAGCATAAACAACCATGGTATTTTCATACAATGGATTATTTCAAAATATAAGAAAGAGCTAATAACATGACAACATGGATGCATCTCATAAACATAATGTTGAGCAAAATAAGCCAGACACAAAAGAATGTATACTGTATGACTATATTTATATTAAGTTCAAAAACCAACCAAACTGATCTACGGTCATAAAAGTTAGAATAGTACTCCTGGAGGGATAACTGAGTGGGCAGAGGCACAGAAGACTTCTGGGGCATTAGAAACATTCCATATCTTGGTTATACTAGTTTACAGACACATAAAAATTCAAAAAGCTATACACCGTACAATATTTGTGTACTTTACTGTATATAACTTATACCTTAATAAACGAACAAAAACTTTGCTCTTGGGACAATCCATTCACAGAAGTAGTTGACAGGAAAGCCTGATTCTCAAAATGACTTGCCTGGTAATTAATTATTTATAATTATACAAGTCCTTTGTCTTCTTTAGGCTTCAATTTCCTCATTTTTAAAAGACTAGAGGCAAATGTCTGACAAACATACCTTTCAAAATTGTCTTAAAGAGGTCATGGTAAGGAAAACCAAATTAGGTATACCTGTTTCCACAAAGAAGACAAGAAGAATTTTCTCCTCTTAGAAATTTAATGTTCGCAGAAAGACTAGTGAGGGAAAATGTCTCTGGATATAAAAATTGAATTCGAGACATGAGGTGTGAAACAGAAAGACTAACAATGCTGTAGGAGATGCTTGGTAAAAAACAAGAAAAAATCACAACAGGAAAGGGTCAAGATGGGTATTTATGAGCACACACAAAGTCATGAGATAGTGGCAATAAGCCAAGTGAATTTACACCTGAAAAAATGAAGGGAAACCGAATCTAAAGACAGTGGGGAACATGAACAAAAAGAAAAGCTAAACAATCAAATGGACAGAACCTAAGTAATTTCAGGGGATCTAAATTGTGCCACTAAGGTGCGAGGACAATCTCTTTGGGATACCACCATCAGGATAGGTCAGTGCCATTTGATTTTAGTTCCAAGATTCAAATTCCAGAGAGACCTACCTGGCCTAATGTGGGTTTTAAGACCAAGCCTTGGTTAAAAGATAGCTGGGTAAAATTTACCCAAAATGATCTGATAGAAAGAGACAGACTAAGAGATGGATTATTCTATGTCATGCAATAATTTTGAGTGTGAAAGCTGATGGAAACTATAGCTAAATCAAAAGGAAGAGAGAAAAAATCGAAAGCAGCACCACACTGGCCACAGTATGCCATGGACAGCTTACACAGGTGGGAGTGATAAATAATATGGAGAAAACACAAGTGGTTTCAACTGTGGCTAAGAATGTAAGTTTCATTTTGTAAAAAATGTATTAATCAAGAAATTTCTTAATTTATATTAATGGTGTCATGTCTCAGAAAGTAGAGGAAGCAATAAAGGAAACTATTATGCTCAACTTGATTTTGACCAGTAAGGAAAAACTGTTTTGTAACAGAAGCCTTAAGAAAAAAAGGAAGACATTATCTTGGGAATCAACAGTGAAAGAAAATGTTCTACATACACAGACAGGTACCCAAGACTTTAGGAAAACGGAATCAACAGAAATGTCTCAGGTAAGATGCTTTTTATTCCAAGTAACAGAAACCAATAGAACCAAAAACAGTAACAGTTACTGTTTTTGAAACAACTGTGTGCCTGGCACATAGTAAATGCTCAGTATGTGCTACAAATACTATGATTACAAGGAACAGAGGCTCAGTTTAGTTAATCATAATGATAAAATTGTGAGAAATCCCAAAAATAAATTAAAAGCAAAGGCTTTTAATGAAACTACTTTGGCTGATTTAATTCTGAGAAACTTAGAAGAATAATAATAATTAAAAAAAAAAGACTTGAAGAACAAAAAATTGAAAAGAAGTATGAACCAAACCTACATAAGACTTCTAATGATATTATTTTTAACAAAAGCAAGAAAAAAAGGACTGCATAATAGGTTAAGCCAAACTTGACTCCACAGCCATACCTACAGAATGTAAAGACACCACCAATGCAGAGGGAAGTCTACAGGGACACGTCATAAGCCTCTACCTTTACTGTGACCTGTTCGATGACATGTAGGAAGAAATAGAAGGAATATTCATCAAATCTGCTAGTGGCATTAGGTTGGAAAGGACAGTTAAAACAATGAATAACTAAATTAGGATTCACAATCATTCTGAAAGCCAAAAACCTGTGACCAAAAAATCGAACAATCATAAATATAAATCCTGACATTAAGGATGATAACAATTTCATTACAGAAGAATGGTGTAAATCTAGATTACTGCAGTTTATGTAAAAAAGATCTAAAGTTTACAGTACATCATTGATGGCTTTTAAAGCAAATGCGATCTGATGCCAAAGAGCAGAAGTCTAATCCGAGTCAAAGAGTAGTACATTATTCTTTTAGGTACTTTTAAAAGCACATCCAAAGAACTATGTTTACCTTTAGGCACTGCATTTTAAGAAAATGCTGACAAGCAGGAGAGTTTTCAGAGAAGAGGTCTAGATACATCACATAGACCAATCAAAAGAAGTGAGGCTGTATTGCTTAGAAAAGAATTTATGAGGAGGAGTTGTAACAGCTGAACTCACATACCTTAAGGGCAGCAACGTGAAAGAAAGAACAGTTTTCTTTTCTTTGGAAGACTAAGAACTAAGATCAATACAAAAGTTACAGGGACAAGTACATCTGTTTAATGTAAGAAACTAAAAAAGAAAGCCAACAAGGGAATAGTCTGCACCCAAAATGGTGAGTTTAATGCCACGCTAGTTCTGGCATAGGGTTGACAGCCATCTGCAAATGATATTTCAAAACAGACTCTTTCATTGAAGGGATAATTACCAAAATGTCTTCTGACTTCAACATTATAATTTTAATATTTAATATCTAGAAGTCATGTGGCGATCACAGATATTCTGAATCATTATGTCTTTTCATTCCGCAACGGAATGAAGAAAAAATAAACTCTTCTCCCAAGTATCTCAGTATAAAATAACTAAGAATCTTCCTACAGTGTAATTCGGTTTCTTTGCTAATCCCTAAGCATAGCGTTCCTTCCTTCCAGCTCTCCTGCTCTGATCTCAAGTATTTGATCCTTCAGTCATGACTGTTCTCAAGCCTCCATGACCCCGCTCTCTCCCAAGTCGACCCCACTACCTTCCATCTCAGGAGCTCATCCCGTTCCTCAGGAACTTGGACAGCAGGGTTCGCCAGGCAGCGTTCCTTAAGCTGGTACCTCGGTCTGGAACTCAGATGTCTAGCTCCCCTTGCAGGGAGTCTGCAACACGCTGAGGTTGTCTACCCTAAAAGACACAGGATGTCGTCAGCGCATACGTCACACAATCACACAGCAGAGTCTTGCAGAGTGACCAAGAGGACCTACACAAGAGAAGTGCCCCAACAGGGCACTAGAGAGGCGTGTGGCACTCCGATGAACAAAACCAGAGTGGAGATCGGGTACGCAGGTTCTGCCTCAGACCCAAAAAACCCTTGGTGCCACCCTAGAATCTGGCCAGGGGCATCCACGGACCTGGTCTGTTCCCTCTGTGCACATTTGTGGCTCACACGCCTGCGATCTCTGATAACACGAAGACACACCTGTTGCAGGGTGTTAAAGCTGGAAGGTGGACCAGCAGGGCGGGTCCCGGCACCCGACTTCCCCTTAGGCCAGAACAAAAGAACAAAGCCCTCCAAGGGATCGGGGCGGGACCGCCCCGCAGAGAAAGGCGAGGTGCGCCCCCTTCGAGGACGCCCCAGCTTGCTCCTGCAGAGGCCTCTAAGCGCGAAACCAGAAGGGTGACGTCACGGGCCCGGAGGGCTGGCTGTTGCCATGGTGATACCTGAGCTCCCCTCCCCCTCTGGCGACCCGCACACTCCGATCCCGGGTCCGGAAGCGGTTTGACCGTCACCAGACCTAAGGCAGGGAGCCGAGGCAGCTGGACTTGCCGAGCGCCAACCTCTTTCCACGCCTACAACCGGCTTCAACGGTCACTTCCGGTCGTTAGGAGCGAGCCCCGCCCCGCACGCTGGCGCCGGCGTTCCCAGAACGCTCCGCGATGCGGTCCCAGAACTTCATTTCCTGGAGGTCTCAGCAGCCGCGTACGTTCGCCCTGCGCGGGCTGCGCGCTCTCGCTGCCGGGCGTTTGCTCCTGTTTGAGGTACGCGTGTGCGTTGTAATGACTCTGAAACTTGCCTGACTGAACGGATCGTAGGAAATACACGTGTACACACAGTTTAAAACGCAAACAAGCGTTACTTTATTACATGTTCTACCTTGTGTTTTCGGTTCTACTCCTTTGTCATTTTGGAAATACTAGTTGTTACCCATTAACATTATTTTCACGACTCTCAGTTGAGTGGCGAGCAACATTTTTTTTTTTTTTTTTTTTTTTGAGACAGGGTCTCGCTGTGTCGCCAAGACGGCAGTGTGGTGGCGCAATCTCGCCTCACTGCAGCCTCCGCCTCCCGGATTCAAGCGGTTCTCCCACCTCAGCCTCCCGAGTAGCTGGGATTACAGGCATGCGCCACCATGCCCGGCTAATTTTTGTATTTTTAGTAGAGGCGGGGTTTCACCGTTTGGCCAGGCTGCTCTCGAACTACTGGCCTCAAGTGATCCACCAGCCTCGGCTTCCCAAAGAGCTGGAATGAGCCACTGGGCCCTGCCCCAACATGTTTTTGAATGCTTAAGGAAACCCGTAGGTGATATTCCCAAGCTTTGCTCCTTAGTAGAGCATTTTATATGCCTGTCAGCCAGCACATAGCTGAGAGTGTAGTCCAAGGCCAGTCTGTCATTATGTGGTTGGCAGAAAAAAGAATCCAACAAATCGGATTTTATGTTTAAGACATGGCACTTGCATTTTATTGTGCTGGTGTGCATTCCCAGCATTTGGATAAGAGACCAAGGTCAAGTCTCTCAGCTTGTTGGCTGACAAAGCATTAAACCTGGAAGTCCTAACACTGAGTATATGAAAAACAATTACGATGAAGGGAAAGGGAATAATATTTAGAAGTCTGTAAGAGCAGATTTCAGAAAACATCTGTAGGAACTAAAAAATAATTTCAAGAATACCAAATTTGGAGAATACCAAACAATTTGGTATCCTCCGTAGAGTACAAGAAAACATGGCATGAATGGAACAGGAAAGAAAGCTGTGAGAGAACAGGCTTGTAACAAAAAGGACAAAAAATACATAGCAAGCCTATTTAAAATGCAGCAACATAAAGTCATTCTGGAGAAAAACTGAATTGATGCTGTGTTACAGTGAACCATTTATGTATGCGATATTCTTTTGTTTTATTTTTGAGAGGAGTTTTGCTCTGTTGCCCAGGCTGGAGTGCAGTGGTGGGATCTGAATTCACTGCAACGTTTGCCTCCTGGGTTCAAGTGATTCTCCTGCCCCTACCTCCTGAGTAGCTGGACAATATTCTTTTAAAGCTTCTCTATGGGCCGGGTGCGGTGACTCATGCTTGTAATCCCAGCACTTTGGGAGGCCAAGGCAGGCGGATCACCTGAGGTCAGGAGTTGGAGATCAGCCTGACCAACATGGAGAAACCCTGTCTCTACTAAAAATAAAAAATAAAATAAATCAGCCAGACGTGGTGGCACATGCCTGTAATCCCAGCTACTCTGGAGGCTGAGAGAGGAGAATTGCTTGAACCCACAGGGCAGAGATTGCGGTGAGCTGAGATTGCCACATTGCACTCCAGCCTGGGCAACAAGAGCAAAACTCCATGTAAAAAAAAAAATTATGATTGAAAAGGAAAGGATGAATATCACTGAATAAGAAAGTGATAGATATGAAGGGCAGAGGATAGAAAGCCAACATGTGGATAACTGGCTATCAAGGAGAGACTAGATAAAATCAGCTATCATTAACACTTTCTATGTGCCAGGCAGCATTCTAAATACCTGTATTAACTTACTTAATTCTTAAAACAATCTAATGAAGTTACTTCTTTATTATTATTTGTACTTTAAAATAAAGGAAATCGAGGCATAGGTAGGTTGCGTGACTTTCAAGGTCAGGTAGGCAGTAAATGGGGAATCTGGGAGTAGAAGTTTAGTAATCTGGTCCCAATCACTCTTAATCTCTCATGCTAGATTCCCTAGTAAAGAGATTTTTTTTTTTTTTTTAAATTCCTGAGTTTAAGAAGAATACATGTGCATATTAAACACTTCAGGCCTGGCATGGAGGTTCATACCTGTAATCCTGGGAGCATCACTTGAGGCCAGGAGTTGGAGGCCAGCCTGGGTAACATAGCCAGACCCTACCTCTACAAAAAATTTTAAGTTAGCTGGGCATGATAGCATACACCTATAGTCCCAGTTACTCAGGAGGCTGAAGTGGGAGGACCACTTGAGCCCAGGAGTTTGAGACTAGTGTGCTATGATGGTGCACTGCACCCCAGCCTGGGTGACGGAGGGAGACCTGTCCCCTAACCCTCCCAACAACAACTACAAAAACTAAAAACAGGCCAGGTTCGGTGGCTCACACCTGTAATCCCAGCACTTTGGGAGGCCAAGGCAGGTGGATCACTTGAGGTCAGGAGTTCAGACCAGCCCGGTCAACATGGCAAAATCCTGTCTCTACTAAAAATACAAAAATTACCTGGACATGGTAGTGGGCACCAGTAATCCCAGCTACTTGGGATGCTGAGGCAGGAGAATTGCTTGAACCCAGGAGGTAGAGATTGCAGTGAGCTAAGATTGTGTCATTGTAATCCATCCTGAGTGATGAAATGAGACTCTGTCTCAAAAACAACAAAACAAAACAAACACTTCATAATATTCCAGAAAGAGAGACCCAGGCATATGCTGGCAAAGAAAATTTAAAACTACAAAGGGAAAAAACAAAGTCCTACAAACAACCAAAAAGCTAAATAATTACAAAGGATCAAAAGTCAAGATGCCTTCATCTCCGTTTTGCTACATTAAGAGCTAAGAAACAATGGAATGATAACTGCGGGGAAATATCTGTGACCCAGATTTTTATATCAGCCAAGTTGTCTTTCATACATAGAGGCCTAAGAAATAAATTTTAGAATTGAATGAGTTTTAGATAACAACACCTTAACTTTTAAAATTTGTTACTATTTTTTAAGGACCAGGCTTCACTATTTTGGCCTGACTGGTCTCCAACTCCTAGGCTCAAGTGATCCTCCCTCCTTGGCCTCCAAAAATGCTGGGATTACAGGTGTGAGCCACCACATTTGACCCTAAGTTTGTTTTATTTGGCCAGTACAACTGTTTGTGGTAATTTGTTTTGGCAGCCCTAAAATATTGACATAAATTTTAGTACTGGGGAGTGGGGTGCTGCTGTAATAAATGCCTAAAAATGTGGAAATGACTTTGGCATTTGGTAATGGGTAGAAGCTGGTAGAATTCTGAGGCATGTAAATTTTAAAAGCCTAGATTGTCTTGAAAAGATGGTAGAAATGTGAACATTAAAGTTAGATTCTGGTGAGAGCTCACTTGGAAGTGTGGGACTTGATAGAGAAAGCATCAGTCATCTTAGAGAATGCATATATTGTCATGGAGAGAACATTGCTTTTTTTTTTTTAAAAAAAATAGGACAATGAAAAGACAAGTCATAGACTGGGAGGAAATATTTACAAAATACATATCTGATAAAGGACTGTATCCAAAATATATAAGAACTCTTAAAACTCAACAGTAAGGAAACAGATTAAAAAATAGGCCAAAGACCCTAAGATGTCTTCAAAGAAGATATGCAGATGGAAAATAAGCATATGAAAAGGTGCTCCACATCATATGTCCTCAGGGAAATGCAAATTAAAACAGTGGAGGCCAGGCGGGTGGCTCATGCCTATAATCCCAGGACTTTGGGAGGCCAAGTTGGACTGATCACGAGGTCAAGAGATCGAGACCATCCTGGCCAACATGGTTAAACCCCGTCTCTACTAAAAACATAAAATTAGCTAGGCATGGTGGCGTGTGTCTGTAGTCCCAGCTATTCAGGAGGCTGAGGCAGGAGAATTGGTTGAACATGGGAGGAAGAGGTTGCAGTGAGCCAAGATTGTGCCACTGCACCCCAGCCTGGTGACAAGAGCGAGACTCCATCTCAAAAAAAATGAGATGCCACTATACACCTATCAAAATGGCCAAAATCCAGAACCCTGACAATACCAAATGCTGACAAGGATGTGGAGCAACAGAAACTTTCATTGCTGATGGGAATGCAAAACATTAGAGCCACGTTGGAGGACAGTTTGACAATTTCTTACACAACTAAACATACCATTACCATGGGATCTGGTCATTGTGTTCCTTGGTATTTGTGCAAAGAACTTGAAAAGAAAGGTATGTGCACACAAAACCTGCCCAAGAATGTTTATAACAGCTTTTTTCATGGTAGCCAAAACTTGGAAGCAACCAAGATGTCCTTCAGTACATGAATGAATACTTAAACTATGGTACATTCAGACAATGAAATATTCAGTAAGGAAAAGAAATGAGCAATCCAGCTACCAAAAAGGAAGAAAAACAGAAGAACATTAAATGCATATTGCTGAGTGAAAGAAGTCAACCTGGAAAAGGCTACATACTGTGTAATTTCATCTATGTAACATTTCTGAAAAGGCTAATATAAGGAAACCGCAAAGTTCAGTGGTTGCCAGGGGTTTAGGGGGAGGGAGAGAAGGACGAATAAGTGACTTTCATTGGATTTTTAAGGCAGTGACACCATTCTGTATGATTTTGTAATGGTGGATACATGTTGTTATACGTTTGTTACAACCCGTAGAATATACAGCATAAAGAGAGAACCATAATGTCAACTATGGCCTTTAGTTAGTAATAATTTATCAGCATTTGCTCATCAGTTGTAACAAATGTACTACACTAATGCAAGAAGGAAGGAGGATACTGAAACTACTTTCCACTCAATTTTTCTGTAAACCTAAAACTGTTCCAAAAATTTTCTGTTAATTTTAAAATATAAGAATTTTAAAGATGCTTATGGTAAGATCTCAGAAAGAAATGAATGACGTAATTAGAAACTGAAGGAATGGTGGTGATCTTTTTATAAAGTGGCAGAAACTTGGCTGAATTGTATTCCACAGTTGGGTGGAAAACAGAATTTATAAATAATGAACTTGAGTATTTAGCTGAGAAGACTTCTGAGTAAAATGTGAAATG